ACAAATTTTTGGTAACATCTGAGTATAAAAAAAGGTTGAAAGGTAATACTTATCTGTTTCAATGTGAAGTTATAAAAAAAAATTAAGCAAAAAAAAATTTTTTAGATAAAGATATAGAAAAATGGAACCCCCTCCAATGAGCTTGGCCTTGACATGTGTTGTCAAAGTCAACATATATCAAGGTCAAGGTCATTGGAGTGGACGTTTTTCTATATATTTACCAAATTCTTGTTATGAAAAATTAAGGTCATCTCGAATTTTTTAAATAATATTATGCAATTCTTTTTTATAATATTGTAGGGATTTTTAAGACAAATTTTCTCTCAATGCACTGTTGGAAAAACAATTTTTTAATATTATAAGTACATAATATCCATCAAAGAATAATATTAATTTTTAATGGCGAGAAAGGAAATATTTTTTATTCATAAATGTCCATCAAAGAAAAGATATAAACGTAAGCAAATGTTCAAATTGCTTGTCTCTTTTTGCAACACAAAATTTCGCTTATAAAAAAAAAACAATTTAAATAATTAAAAAAGCAAATTATTATATATAGAAGTTATTTGAATCCAAAGTTGCACAAGTTATAATTATTTTTTTTAAGATCTTGAATATTAATTAATGTTTAATATATAAGAAATTGCAGATATTTCCATAAGAAAATATCTATCAAAGATAAATTTGAAAAAGTCAATCATCGGATTGGTCCATATGTATTTATAACATAATTTTTAAAAATAACCTGAAGATAATTTTAAATCAATCATGCATTATGAGTTAGGCAATCTTGCTACAAGTACATATTTCTTACATAAAAAGATATATTTTACGTTAGTTCTGGAAATTATATATTGACAAAATACAAATATCGATGTGACATCAAATTTTCTTTGTAAATATTTTTAATATTAAGTTTTCTTCATAAAAATGATCCAATTAAATAATGAAATAATTTAATGCTGCATTAAATAAATTAATTTTTATATCAAGAAAAATAAAGAAAAGCTAAATAAAGGAAAGGAATAAAAAATAAAAAATCGAAAAGTTAAAAATCCATTTTAACTTGAAAATTCCTGAGTCCAATGTGGATTTTCTGATTATCAAAAATTTATTTCTGATTATCAAAAGTTTATTACATCTATTGAGAATACCATTGGTAAATTTTGATTTATTTATCCACATAATTTTATGTAATGTACACTGCGCGACAATGATTTTCATGGTCCCGCCGGAGTTCTACTCAGGCAGAGTCGATAATGCTGAAAGAGATTGAAATTAAGATAATTAGGTAATTTATTAAAATTAATAACAAGTTTCTCAAAGATATTCTTTTATTAGAAATAAAATTATGCGTATCTGAGTAATCGATCTAGTATTCTTGTACAATTATTTGTTGTTATCATCTTTCCAATAGATTGCTCAAATTTCCATTTCCTTATACATTATTTAACTATTTATTACAGTCTGTTGTAGTTTATATCTATTTGAATTCGAGGGCTCGAGCCATGCTTGATGCAATCTCTCCTGTCGTGCTCCAGGAGGATTATTTGTATATTTGCCAATGGCGTTGGAGGGTGTCGCCGCTGCAGTCCGACCTGCATCCATCGAGAGAATAGGACCATCATCTCTCTGGAGTACCGGTCGTGGGGATTCGAAAGAATACACGTATATGTATATATATT